TGTGTGTGTGTGTGTGTGTGTTGTCATACTCACTACACAGCCAAACATTTCATTTGTGTGTTATAGATTTTCCCCACAAACATCCAAACAGCCCATCGGCCTTAACACCGACTGTGTGTGTTATAGATTTTCCCCACAACAGCCCCAAATCCACCCAGATGAATAGATTCAGAATCAAAGCAGTCTTTGTCCTATTGCAGACAACGAGAGCTTTTGAGATGAGACAGTCCAACATATTAAAGCAATATTATAATTAGACAGTTTATGGGTTGTCCTTAAGGTACCCCTTCCATTTGTTCTTGCAGCTCCCCTTTTACTGTGCTTCTTACGTACAAGGCTGGCTCATGTTGATTGTGGTTGAGCGGCAGCTGCCACATCCCCAAGTGACTTCACGGCCAACTTGCACGATATTCCAGGAGGCAGAATAAAAGGGAAGGTATGCTCCTGTGTTTTTTCTCTTCAGGCCTTCAGACTCCTCTTCATTTCACTTCAGATCTTCAGCTTATACTTGGTCTTTGTGTCCGTCCTTCATCTTTGCACTTCCGTTCATTTCTTTTCTGTTCTCTTAACAATGCGCATTCATATGCAGTGTGTCCGTCCTTCATCTTTGTACTTCCGCTCATTTCTTTTCTGTTCTCTTAACAACGCACATTCGTATGCATTTGTTAGTAGCACAAAGGGAGTAGAGGGGGGGGGTGGAGGGAAAGGGATAGTTCTAAACATCCACCGCTGCAACAGACTACTCTAGAATGGCACAGGGTTGAAGTTTTTTTTTTGTTGGGTTGAGGAGCAGTTAATGCCTATGGCAAGTGGCCACCCCTACACAGACTGGACAGGACCGGTTTGGGTGCGGACTATGGAAGCACTGCATCCAATTTTCGCGTCAACGTGTGTGTGTGTGTGTGTATGTGTGTGTGTATGTGTGTGTGTGTGTGTGTGTGTGTGTGTGTGTGAACTGCACACACACACACACACACACAGAACTCGATTCGATCGACGTGTTTTTTTTTGTTTTTCTTGTTTCCGTATGTGTGTGTGTGAGTGTGTGTGTGTGTGTGTGTGTGTGTGTGTGTGTGTGTGTGTGTGTGTGTGTGTGTGTGTGTG